TGATGGTCGTGGTATCCACTCATGCCACATGTGTCCATTTTGAACTTTTCACACTAACGACATAGAATCCGTGACTACAATTCACCTGGTTACTCTGTTTTCTCCTGTCCACCTCAGAACTACAGTGACTGCCTCATCCTCCACTCTCATGCTTGAAGCTGTAGATAAAAAGGCAAAGTGTTATTCAGCTACGATATTTCCCTTCACTCCAGCTGAAAATCCCACAGCCAAACGAACAGGCCCATCGGTATAGACTATTGCATCATCTAACCAAACGTTTGTTGCTGGTTTAAGAACCAGCCGCACACACATGTCGTTACTGTAACAGACTCACAAAGCATGCTTGAGAAAGGTGAAGACATGCATGCTCTGTGCAGAGTGAAAAACATGGCTTCAGGTGCCCCGGGTAGTTAGTATTGTTTGGATATTTTTGTCGGAGTGTTAGGACATAAACCAGCAGATTGATTAGTTCTGCACTACTAGATGGTGAATTTATGCATAACATGCTAAATGTGGTCAAAGCCATTTGGGAGCAAGTGAACAGTGTAGAGGCACGAAAAGAACGATACAGCTCTTAGTAAACAGGTAAGCTGGCCGACATCTACACTCGGGGGGGGGGGGGGGGGTGATCAGGGATCTGGACGTCACTCTAAACTCAGGTAGTGATCAGGGATCTTGCCGACATCTACACTCAGTGAGTTATCAGGGATCTGGGCGACATCTACACTCAGGGAGTTATCAGGGATCTGGGCGACACTCTACAGTCAGGGAGCGGTCAGGGGATCTCGTCTAAACTTTACATTCAGTGAGTGACCAGGGATCTAGTCGACACTCTACACTCAGGGAGTGATCGGGGATCTCGTCTACACTTTACACTCAGAAAGTGACCAGAAATCTGGTCGACACTCTACACTCAGGGAGTGATTATGGGATATCGCTGACACTTTGCACTCAGTGAGTTACCAGTTATCAGTACTGGAGGGCTGATCTACACAAGCTGGTATTTAACTTGGGATAAGAATGCAGTGAATGGGCAGTCGCAGATGTTCAACAGCTGATAGAGGACAATTCTAGGCTAAGAGATGTGATCATATTCTTTGACGGGTCAGTGGCCATATGTAGAACGCGTGAATGGGACTGCCTTGTAAAAGCACAAAGAGTAATGCCGTTACAGACTCATGAGGAATATTTCGATGAGCAGCCCTGACTATTGTCCTTTGGAGTGGATGAAGCATGTGTCTAATGTCAACAATCAACATTCTTTTACAACGCCCTCTTGCTTTCACACCAGATCGCTTTCGACGTATCGCCGGTGTTGGTAGCCGTTATTAATTTTTTAAAAGATAACAGAGCCATTTGATTTTCTGTTTCTTAGTGAAATTGGCGTAAAGGTTTTGCTTTCCACGGTCTCCTTTTTCGATTCTTCTGTCAGAAAACTTATATCATGAGGCCGGTAGCCTTTATGAAAGCTATCGTACCGTCCACATCCCCTTGTGTATCATACAGCGTTGTCTTTATTGTGGTTTAAACAGGCCAGATCGCTTCTCTGTTGGCAGCATACAGTTGACAGTGTTGGAACCTGATTACTGATTTAAGAATCTTCAGGACAGAACACCGGGCACAGCAATAAATGCTCCTTCTCTCGCAATCTGTCAGATGGTAGTATCTTTCACTAGGCCTCGGGTGGTTCTGTTATCAGCGTCGCTCAGGCACGCCGTCTTTAAATAGATCTATTCATGGACAGTCGTGGCTCAGGCATCTCATTTGATAGATGTTGTTAGTTTTACAAAGGTTAGCCACATACTGCAGTACTGCCCTTACATCTCCCAGCAAAGACTGGATATGGCCCAGGGGATCCACATTGCGAGAGAAGCTATGGGGGACCGGTGGCGACCTTAAACGCACAATCCTATTTTTGATCCAGACGATACTCAATGTGTAGCATGACTGATGTCGAACGCAGAAAAAGAAGAAGAACAAAGGTTAGCCTTTAATGACTTTATTGATGACTTCCGAGCTTTTAAAAAATATAGATTGTGATTTCCGGAACTTTTCGTCTACCGGAAACGATAAAAATTTTTCCTTTTCCCTACCACACGTTGTGGAGTCAGGTATGTCAGGTTGCTGTTTGTAAATGTAGGTCCTGTTTTGTTTAGTTTTTACCAAAGAGTCTTCTACTAGTGAATTGAATAAATAAAGTTTAAAACACTTTTTTTTTAAAATATTGTGTATAATTCATGTAATTTTGTTGTTATTTGTCATTATTGTCCATGAAAAAAAATCCGTTTATCGAAAACTGGTTGCCTCGTGAATCAAATACTGCTATATTTGCACCATTAGTATTGGAACTCACTGGCTGCTGAAGATGAGGGCGGAGCGCTTTTTTTTTCTTGGAAAAAAAAAAAAAACACCCACAAACACCAGGAGAGCTGGTGATGTCGGTTCTTGAATTAAATACTGACACAGTCATAATGCATGTAGTTACTGTACAATGATACGAATTGAGTATAATTTAATTTTTCAAATAACCCTGATCTGCAGTAAATTCCCAGGATTTGCAAAAGAATTGAAGGCACCTGGAATCCAGCAGACTGATAACTGACTGACGTTAATCCCACTAGGACCATTGAAGCAGGTCACACAAAGAACCACAATTCGGATGAGAATCACACAGGCGCAAGTCCTGGAAACACCATTAAACTTTAAACAATAAGGTTATATTAGGCTCCAGCCAGCGGTTACATGGGACTTTCATATATAAAACAATCCTATTGTGGGACAGGGGTTTTTTTTTTTGAGCTAAACATTTCCTGAACTTTATTATGACTTTTTTGGCGCTTCTTTGATTGGTTCCCCAAAATGGCGGCATGCCACATTCTGGCCATAAAATATCCGAACGACGGTGTTCGCGTATATCTAAAATACGGATTATCTGCCAAGGAACAAATCGCGGCAAATCTAGGATTGCTTGACAATCAATATCAACATTTGCACACGGTAGTAGTAGCAGACGATAAATACAGACCGTTGACAACAATTTCGAGCGTACATACTTACCTATCATACGGTTGCGTGTAAGGTTGCCTAGGTTGCTGTTAGGGTTGCGTAGTCATCATACGGTTGCGCAAAGGGTTGCGTAATCATACTGTTGCGCGAAAGGTTGCCTAGTCATCATAAGGCTGCGTGTAGGGTTATACCTATCATAATACGGTTGCGTGTGGGGCTGCGTATGGTGTGGATTCGGGGGTTTAGGGGTAGGGTTAGATGTGACAATTTTGACGTAGGAGTTCTAAATACTGGCCGACAATCTGATGCTTGTGGGAGTGGCGCCACTGGAAGTCTGTCAAATATGACCGCAATAGCGCGCAGCTGGTGCCCAACCGGTGGCGACGTGTCCGTGTCAGTAGCATCCACAGTCCGTCGACTTTTTGGGTGTGTATGTGACAGTGCGCGATTATTGGGAATTCCCGCATCGTCAAAATTGTCACATCTAACGCTAAACCTAACCCCTAACGCTAACCCTAACCAACACCCCTACGCAGCCCTACACGCAACAGCATGATGGACTACGCAACCCTACAAGCAACCGTACGATGACTACGCAACCCTACAAGCAACCGTATGATGACTACGCAACCCTGTACGCAACCTTACACGCAACCGTATGATGATAGGTAAGTATGTCATTTGTTTCGAGACTTTTCCGCTCACTGTTTCGAGTGCGGCCAAGGAGAGCCCTCGCGAGTACAGTAATTTGAGGAAGTTGCAGGAGATGCGGTAGCTGCCGCTCGTGAGTCCCAGCAGACGCAGGTCGGCAAGTAACGCCGTATCGCCGAGACCCTGTCAGAGCCATTTGTTTCGTTATCCGGAGCCGGCACATATATTTTTAATAGAACTGTCCCGCATTGGGATATTTTTGGATACTTTATGGCCAGAAATTGGCCAATTTAGCTCCCCTTTGAACTCCATCATGCTAAAGCCGCCATTTTGGGGACTGATTAAAAGAAGCGCCACTTTTATTTGTGTGATCATTGACATCATTGACCGGGAGTGACATGTTGGACATTGGGTTAAAGACACTAGATACATGGTGGTGAAGAAAATTATTGATGCTGGCAGATTTGTTGTGAATCATTTTCTGAATCATCCAGTGAACTGATTTTTAGATGTTTGAATTCGCAAGTGAAGTGTAGAAACATCCGACTTAGTAACAATTGAATATCCTCCAAATAACAGTCCCAGATTATAGAGGCAGAAAATATACTCAAATAGGGCCTCAGTCACACACAAAATTGCAGACTGCAGCGACTTAAATTGCGCACTTCCTGCGACTACTGCCACCGCCGCGAGTTATCTGCCACGCCACTACTACGAGCAGTGTGGAGTGGGGCTAAACTAGATGGCTGGGACTCAGAGCAGCAGCTACCGTATCTCCTGCAGCTTCCTTTATTTTATTTGGTCGTGAGTCCTAGCCATCTAGTTTAGCTACGTTCCACACCGTGCGTGGGAGATACTCTTGGCGGAAGTCTGCAATTTACATGTGACTGAGGCTTTGTTAAGTATATTTTCAGCCTCAATAATTTGGGACCGTTATTCGTAGGATAGCTGTAACAATCTTCATTGGAACTCTTCCTTAAAGGGGTGCAATAAGGCTGGTTCTGAAGCTTTACATCTCTTGGTAGGCTTGTAGCACAAAGCATTAGGAGTATGCTGTCACTGAACATGGTTAGGCTGTTATTTATTTCACAGGTTTAGTTATTTCATTGCCTGCACAATCTAACCCAGTACTTAGGGAAGGACACTAACAGAACAGTGTATTCTCTGTGTGGAAGAAAAAAAAGCATATTAGTTTAAAACTTGAATGTGTACATTTATGTAGACTGAATTTATTTACGGAGACATAATTTCGTTGGTGATTTAGCAGCTTTGGTTTTGACAGTGTTTGTTAAATATTTTGTCAATATTATTTCTCCTTAACAGTTGCCAAGTCAAACAGCGAAATGTCTGATACTGAAGGGTATGTTCTTGTTTTTTTCCCTACTTATATTAAATGTCACCCACCAGGTAAAATAAAGCCCTACACCAACATAATAAGACATTGTCTGACCAAGAACTGGCACGTCTGATTATTTTGCTATTGATAATTTGGAACATATTGAAGTACAGAATATCAGATTTAGAATATTTAGGTGCCGTGGTGAACAGTCGTGGCGAACAGTCTTGGTGAGTGCACAAAAGAAGTCAAAAGACTTGTTTTGGCAGTGCAGAGATTAAACTGCATGAATAAGCTCCCGTGCAACACCTTTAAATAAGTACAAAAATTGAGGTCCTATACCTTTGTTCTGACAGTTTGTGTTTGTGAGTCAGAGACTCTCTTACTCTGTTAACAATAGAGCTTTTGAATTGAAATGGAACAGAAAAATTCTAAGAATACCATGAACAAAGAAAAAGAAATAAAAACACACAGCATGATCTGGACATAGATGACTGGCTCGTAAACAGAGTGCTTTCTTAAAAACGTATTCCGGCCACATATATGATAGCCTGAAAACACCATAGAAGGTAATCTTTAGGAAACAAAGAAGAGACAGAACTCAGTGAGGGTATTAAAGATGCCCTGGCTATGAAAGCACACAGGGCTGGAGGATGAGACACCCAGGCATGCTGTGAAGTGAGCACCGTCGAACAAAAACACCTGCTGATTAAAAAATATGGTTGGATTTTCTGAAACTGGAATTCACAGCCAAAACAAGTCTTTCGGTGTACCAGTTTGGCTTTGTTGTGATCAGAGATTTGTTTCATTACAAATTCTCCTTGTGTTGCAGTCCTCCTTGGTCCACATGGCTAATATATGTACATACTATAATTACACATACATAACTAACTGAGAACTGTACAGTGAATTTAAACGTTTCTTAATATAGCCTAAAGTATGGAATTTTCCTTCACTTATTGTTACAATGTCAATAAGTTCAGACAAGCTTTGTAACACACATATTTCTTGTTATCAAACAGTGATGCCCCAGCACCTGCTCCTGCAGCTTTGGCTGCAGATGTAGGATCCATGGATCTCTACCAAGCTCTTCAAGAAGTCCTGAAAACAGCCCTCATCCATGATGGACTCTGCAGGGGTGTGAAGGAAGCCACTAAAGCTCTTGACAAGTAAGTGTTACACTTCCTGCTTGTTTCATGGACAAACATTTATTCTCTTTTCTTTGTGAGGGTATTAAAATCTGGTCAATGACTTCAGCTAAAGTCTGAAATAAGTTAGTTTCTGTGGATTGACATAGGGACAAACATGCAGGGACCACAAGAAGTTGGTCCTCTCTGATGAAAGTATGTGATTGTATACTGTTTTACTTCTAGTCATCTTAATGTATACCAGCTGTGAACTGCGGCAGAAAGTTTTGCTTAATCGTCCACTTCAGGTTTTTTAAAAATTGTTTCATAGTTTTACTCATTTCTGTTTTATAAATGTATTTATAACTAGCTTATTTGTATGCATGTTGGTTCCTTATCTCCCAGAGAGATCCACTTTTCCTTTGAAGAAAACTCCTAGTCGCCTCACACAACAGGCTTGTTAGAGGGGCAGTAGCCCTCCCCTTTCCTTTCCACGGGGAAAGGGGGGGGGGGGGGGGGCTAGAAATTCACACTGGGAATTGTCTTAAGCGTCTGAGTACCTTTTTGTTACTCTGTTACCACATGTGTGGGGTGTTCTTTGCTGGTACTGAATCTATGTACATGATTCAATCACTAAACCTTAAAAAAACCAAGAGGTGTTATTTTTTTGTTTTGGGGGTCACTGGGTGGAATAAAAAAGTAAAAGTATGCACTGTGGAGCTAAAAGGGACAACACATAATGAGGATATCTTTTTACAGTGAAGTTAGAAAGTGCTGTCTGGAAAACCAAGTCAGCACACAGAAGTGCACCTGAACACAAACAGTAAAAGAAATTTTGAGGGATTGAAAACATAGGGGAACGCACAGAGGGAGCTGCCGGACATGGCGACACACTGGGGGCTTGGCATGGGTTGTTACACAAGTGTCAGAAAAAAGCATACTTTGGCATTGTTAGAATTGTGTTGAGCAGTCTTTGGCAGCACTAGAATTCTGTATATTATAGATGAATCATGTGTTTATATTTCAGACGTCAAGCCCATCTGTGTGTGTTGGCAAACAGTGTTGATGAGCCCTTGTATGTCAAGTTGATTGAGGCCTTGTGTGCTGAGCATGGAATCAACTTGCTTAAGGTGTGTTATTTTTCTGCCTTTGCTATTTAAAATTGTTTTAAAAGGAATAATTTTCATGTTCATTAAAGTTTGAACATATTTGAACTGGCTGCATTATATATTGTAATTTTTGTTCCACCCATCAAAAGAACAGACCAATTGTTTAACAAACTTGCATTCAACAATGTACGAAAATCTTTTTTGAAAAATTTGTGGACAAAACATAACCTGATGTAACTAGTGCAAAATTGAGCATAAAGACGAGCGCAGAAATTATTTCAGTAGGGAAAGAAGCTAATTTTTAATAATTTCATGCCATGCCTGAGCACTAGTGTACTCTTACACTTGTCTTCCTACTGTCAGTAAAGAAACTTAGGTATTTCACTGTATACAGATTTTCTAAACTAACCCTATTCTCTTATGCATCAGGTTGATGATGCCAAAAAACTCGGAGAATGGGCTGGTCTGTGTAAACTAGACAAGGAAGGTAAAGCCAGAAAAGTCAACGCTTGTGGGGTTGTTGTCGTCAAGGTGAGTTTTCTGTACATCTGATATGAGGTTTAAAAAAATTGTAGTCTACGTTAATTTGCTTATAAAAAATTAGTCTGTAGACATTTATATCTGCAGAGATATTGGCTGTTGCATAACGCTCTGAGCTATTTCTATTGCAGTTTATCGTCACTTCACTGTTGTCTCAGACCAAAAAATAAGCCCCTTCTAAAACAGATGTATCAATTTATTAGATGTTCCCTAATAGCTCTTGCGACGCCACTCGGCTGAAACAGTTTCTCACAATTGTAGATGCTGCACTGTTGCATTAGGAAAGTGAAAATTATTTGTTAAAAATGAGTATGCAATATCAAAGAGGCAAAACAAGTGGCTTCCCTAAGAACAAAGCTTACGGTTTCTTAAGTGAGCCTAGGACTGGAGCCTCATGTATTGGCTCTGTATTTATGGAAGCCTCTTGGTCGGTGGGGAATGTCCATGAAGCGCTCATGCCATTTCTTAAGGGCCATCCTGTCCACACACGGTTGCTCTAGATGGGTTCTCTGCGGTCAACACCTGTAGGTAAAATGGACAGAGAGGACACCACACAAATAAGGCTACATCTTGTCCAGAAACCAGAAAGGCTACCTGCTGAACAAATTGTCTGATGAAGTCAGTTGAGTGGGTGGAAAGGTGCTAACATGGCACCTGTGCTGGAAATAGACAACACAATTTTGTTACTCTGTTCACTAGCTGTAAGCTCCAGCGGAAAGTCTTGTCCCTCCATTTGGACTTTGTGCCAGGGTGTGAGTTTTGCGTGTGCATCCGTTTTACTAGCTTCTTTGAGTGCAGCTGGTTGTTCCTTCTACTCGGACAGATGTACTCAGACTTGAAAGTAAGTCCCCAATTAGTCAACTCCTATGAGATGCTTGTTGGGGAGGTATTGGGTCTGTTCTTGTTTTCCACACAATGGGGCTCTGAAATATACACAGGGAGTTACATTTCTTTGATGAAGGAGGAAAAGGATGGTCTGCCACGACACAGTGGCTACAGACATCTCAGAGATTTTATGAAAGTCTTGAGTGCATCTGTCTGAGCAGCAAGGAATAACAAACTGCACACAAATAAGACAGTAAAAAGAATGTACACATAAAACTTAGAGCCTGGCACAAGGGCTGGTGCCCAATCGGTGGCGAATTGTTTGTGTCAGTAGCATCCACTGTCCGTCAACTGTTTGCGTGTGTATGTGGCTGTGCGCGATTATAGGGAACTACAGCGTCAAAATTGTCATATCTACGCTAAACCTACCCCTAACCGTACCCCTAACGCTACCCCTAATCCTAACCCAAACCCTAACCACGCAAATTTATCGGTCATTAAGGCATACAGATCGGCAAAAAACACCAAAAAAAAAAAACAGATTTCCCCGCAGCGTCAAAAGAAAAACCTAGATCTGGGGGACACAACCAAGCATTGGCAGCCCTGATGTCTCACTGTCTTGTTTGATTCGTGATATTTTCCGCTACTTGTTTTCAATGCGGCCAAGGGAGAGAACTCCCACTAAGCCGTCCAGCTAGCATCCAAAGGTGCAAGGAGAGCCCATTATTCTATTGTGCTATTTGTCACATAGGGCTGGTCTGACCCGTTTCACAGCCCCACAGACTTTATAGAGCTACAGCTGGGGGGGGGGAAGGGTTAAGGGCAAGAACAGTTCTAGGAGGGTCCTAGCACTCTAGTACCCTGGGCTGTGACTCAGGGTTACAGTTCGGACTGTTGGCAGCCTTAAGGAGTGCATATCAGTGTAAAGCAAACAACGGAGAATGTCCATAACAGTGAAAGGGTTAAACATGTCAGTAATGTAGCTGAATTAATGCATCATTTCTGTTTGAAAACTAGGACTATGGCATGGAAACTCCAGCTCTTGATGTTGTCAGAGATTATTTCAAGTCCAAGTGAGCAACGGCAGCAGAAACAAACCTGTTTGTATGATGTGTAAACATGGCTTGATGTGTTTTCTGGTGTTCTTGGAATAAATAATTAATATGAGTATCAGTGGTGTCCAGTTTTGTTTTATTTGTTTTAATATTTTAAACATGATCTTATAGTTTTTACGCTATTTACCACTTACGCTTATCAGATATAATCCTTGTGTGGGCTCTTGGACTCTGTTTGGGGACAGGAGCAGAGCCCATAAGAAGCGTGTCATAAAAGGATGCTTCCTTTGAAGTGCATCTTCCTGGAGGGGCGGGGAATTAAGTTTGAATAATTATCTCAAGTCCAGGAACAAGTCAAAAGTTCACAACTTTCTGCTGGAGTTTACAGTCGGTGCATGCAGAGAAGATCCTACCCACATGAGATTGAAGGTTACTCCATCTCGCCATTGGGTGTCCTAATAAACAAAGAAGAAGAAGATTGAGGATATAACCCCTATCCACACAAGACTGTAGGTGACTGTATTGCATGTCACTGTAGAGTGCCCTAGTAAAATTTAAAATGTGGTTAAATGGGGTGCCAGGGATTATAACTGCTGGACTGACATCTTGCTGCTTGCACCACTGGGTATGAAACCTTTATGATGCATGTGGGGGGGGGGGGGTGTATATCGGAATTAACATTACTGGAGAAATATCAAATGAGCTTATGTTTGTATGATGTGACAAACTGGCATAGTGTAGTCTGGCTTGACGCACCACTGTAATGTCTGAGGGTAATAAATGTATAGCAACAGTGGGGTCTGGGCTGGCTGTTGTATCAGATAACTGACCCTGCGGGAGAATATGCTCTTATGTCATTTGTGATCACAGAAATGCTCTGATTTGTTTATTCGACTGATCAACATCATGGCGCATGCGTGTAACACATAAGTGCTCTGTTCTACTTCAAACTCCAGCGCGAGTGAAGAAAACCAACGCAATGCACAAACTCTTAACGCCGGCGAGGAAAGACTTGGGGTACAATTTTTAAATTGCAAATTTTTGCCTGAGCAGCACCGCTAGGCTACTCTTTTCAATTTCCAGCTGCCGAGGGATTTTTTACGTGCGCAAGAATACACACGGGATTCTGATCAAGGGAAAATTTCTTAAACAAGTGAAAAAAAACCAGCCTTCCCTGGGACTTCGAGATGGACACCATAATCTAGACCATTCAACTCCCCAATACTTTTTTGGAATAACACTGCAGTGTTTGAAAATAATGCATGAGAATAAGCTCTTTCAGAAAGGCTGTAAACGTTCAGGCAGTCTGAAACAAAACACAAAAAGTTGCCTTGATAGTCAGAGGCCTTGGGAACTGTTGCAGAAATGTTTTGGTCAGAGAAAATTAGAAAAACACACAGCTATGCGTACTGTTGCAAATTTAGTTTAACAGTACCAAAAAGAAAATCAGTACAGAACTAACAGACCTGAACTCCATGAACTAAATTAGAAAGTTGAAAAGAAGTCCTAGTACAGTAGATTCCATTCCACTGCAACATATCTGGAAACGAAGATGCTGACAGATTGGTAAAGGAAAGACTAACCCATTCTGATATAGACATAACATATGATAAGAGGTTTATAAGTGCCTAAAGTACTAAGTAGGACTCTAAACACCTAGGCCACAAGAAGGATGATGTACGTACCAAATGGACTGAAGAGAAAAAGTTATCTGTAGACCACACAGGACATAATAGGCTGATACACTATTTGTTAAATAAGCTAAAGATAGACACTGATGATCTTAACTGGTAAGGGTAAAATGATAACTAAACACTTGCTGCAAGAGTGTCCGACATATGCAGAACAGAAAATTAGTCTGGTTACAACCAGCTCCTTTTGAGGACATACTGGAGAGATGGCAACAACCTCAAGTTGAAGAGGTCCCAGAAACCCCTTTCAGCCGTAATGGCCACAATTATGGCCCAGCTATATTCAGAGCTCCCGGCAAAAGCCAGGGTGGGGCTTCAAATAGCAAAATTGCATCCCATATGGGGACGACAGTATAAGTAAAATCAGATTTTAGTCCAAAAAAGATGGTTCTTGACAAGTTCTTGAAAATTAAAAAAAAAAAATTGTTCTGCTGCTGATTTTAGGCTCTTTCGACTAAAGAGTTTGTTGACCACTGCTCTGTACCAAACTGTCGAACATCCTCTTGTTATACCTTTGTCTTACAGTTGTCTCCTCATGTCCCCAGAGAATGTAAATTAACTAATCACGAAATAGTGTACAATCAAAGGTAATGTTTAATGATAAGAGCAAAGATTAATTCCCTTGAAATTGTGCACCACAATGCATTGACGTGTGTAGAAAATCTGCATGCTGAATCCAGGACACTCTTATAAGCGCAGTGTCCCATCTCCAGCAGCAAGCGAAGAGTTCCTATTGCGGTGGCACCAGCAGCTGTCGTAGTAAGTTAGTCGTTACGGTTCCGGCAAACCAGCTTGGCCCATAATTGCTCAACCGCCTATGCCAGTGACTCCAGTCACAAACTGAGTCAGATACACTGGATACTTCGAGTGAATGCCGAAGCCATATAAAGTGTCCTCAGTCAGCAAAACACACACAATTTGATCTGGCAAAACATAAGGTGCATGAAAATCGCTGAAAATTTAACCTTATTCGACGAATAGCTGGGCGGTGAGTAGATTAAAATTATTTCTGACCATTCTCCACATGTCCTCGGCCAAGTTGCAGCCACCGCCAGAAAATAAATAGCAGATATAGCACACGCTTTGTCCCATGAGCACAACAAAAAAATACATCACCCATCACTACCTTTATGTACGAATCTGGAACTCAGTCAATAACTGATAATCACAGCTCATAGTGCTGCCAGGAGCACTAAACTCGGTAGCTCCGACTGAACACCAGACTTCCACAATCTTGCAACATTGAAACTGGAAAAGAAACAGCAACAAGAACAGTCAACATAAGCCAAGTTCTCAACCATCATCCATTCTCTATCAATGTCGGAACCGGAAGTCCCCGTAACTGTCTCAATGCTGATCATCGGCCCGATCCTCTGGTAACTCCCCACAACAGTGTTCTCCTCAGGCTGTGATGATCTGTTTGTGCCTTCGCACTGTTCACTCTCTCCCCAATGTATCTAAGATACTCATAACTATCTATATTTAATTCCTGAAACATGATGATATCAAAGTCATACAACAGCCTCTCCAATACAGGCCCTCTCTCCTCTTTTGCACCTGACTCTTCCGGCTTCTGCTCGCTTATTTCTAGGTCTTCTTATCTTTGCATTTCTTCATCCTCTCTTCCCAGTCTTTCCTTTACCAGCTGATGACAGTATCAAGCACAGAGCACGCACTCCATAGTTCCAGCGATATTTCTTTTTTATTTTCAAGCACACAATCTATAGAAAATATTCTTTTGATGTAGGAATTAAACAGTCACCCTAGTATTTTCTTGCTAGAGAAGAGGCACGGGTGTCCCCAAGATGTAGGAAAATCAGGAGCAGTATTTAATTAGTCTGATACAGGCCGAGGGGAAAGAGAGGACTGTCCTGATGTGAAAAGAGGAGTCACTCCTGATTTTCCAACATCTTGGGTATAATCTTCACCAAACGTACCATCCATCCACAAATACTATGGATAATTAGCGCCTATACTACTCACCGGGTCCACCAAAAAATGAAATAATAAATGCACAGTATTTAACAAGTACATCAACCTTCCTGCGGCATCCAGCAGTGGAGCCTCTTGTCAACATGTTTGTTATGGTAAAAACAAAATCCGAGTTTTGAATAGACAAATACAGAATCAAAATCTGCCCCTTCAACTTCCTCTACTTTTCTCTCTTTGTTGTCCCCATAGCAAGTGAAATAAGTACTTCTGATAGAGTGTAAAAGTTAAAGGCATTTTGATGGTGATTACATGTATTCATTCCTTTAAAAAAAATCTTTTCTTTGACCTAAACATTATTTGACATACAAAATTACCGATAAAATTTTATTTTTGCACCACATTGCATTGTCATGTGTGTGGAAAAAAAAGAGGTCATTAGCATATCAGGAAATAGTTTACAAATAAATTTAAGACAGAGTTTGGACAAGACATACAAACATGAAATTAATTTTTTATGTAATAAACGGTTATTTGAAAAAAAAAAAAATTAACAATCAACAACAATGACCAATTTATTTTATACACATTTTAAAACAACTTTATTTTACAAGTATCAACCGGTTTTTATTTTGATAAAGAAGATGACAAATGGGTTTATGTTAAAATGATACAATCATTCAGTAAACTGAGTTTTCTTGTTTGTTCATGGTTACCCCTGACAGAGATAATTGCGGTTTTCATAGTCTGTGGTAAGCCACCATTATCTCAACACCTCACTGAAGTAACAGGAGGAAAAGAAGAAGACAGTATTATCTGCAACCCTAGGAACAAACCACCAAGTCTGCAACCCTAGGAACAAACCACTAAGTCTGTAAGCCTAGGAACAAACCACTAAGTCTGTAAGCTTAGGAACAAATAAACAAGTCTGTAAGCCTAGGAACAAACCACCAAGTCTGTAAGCCTAGGAACAAACCACCAAATCTGTAAGCCTAGGAACAAACCACCAAGTCTGTAAGCCTAGGAACAAACCACCAATTCTGTAAGCCTAGGAACAAACCACTAAGTCTGTAAGCCTAGGAACAAACCACCAAGTCTGTAAGTCTAGGAACAAACTACCAAGAGACTAAGGTAGTAATACAATCTAGTTACCAAGAAAAGGGGCTGGATACACACACCAAATTTTGTCCCCAAGACTCACTTCATCCCTTCTCTAGAGAAGGACAATGTGTTGTATTTAGACTAAGGACAGGGCACAACAAAATTTCGCTAACATTTTTTCAAACTTGTCGGTGTAGGAAACAAGCGTCCAAGCAGCTTAGCATCAGAAAATGCTGAGCATGTGCTCCAACACTGTCAACTGTATGCTGGCCACATGGATGCAGTCCTGCCTGTTTCAACC